ATTTTAGACACCTTATCCAATTCTAACATTATTTGAGCTGTTTAGTTACTGACAGGGACAATAAGATTTTCTTTCATGGCTCTGTTTTGTCCAGTTTACGGAACTTCCTTGCAGATAATATGTCAGTTGTTCTTGTTTACAGGTTGCATTAATTTTGGCACTTCTTCTTCTTCTCCTCCTCCTCCTTCCCCTCCCCCCTCCTCCTCCTCCTTCTTCTTCTCTTTTCCAGGATTAGCTCACTTTGAGGTTTTACTGAAGACAAGACCATTCTTGCACTTAAAGAAATAATTCAAATAAAATACATTTTAAATAAACAATTTGGTTATAGATATTTATGAAATTCTCCAAGGGATCTGGAGTCCTGAATTACCTGATCTCATTTATTTTTACATTATTTATTAATCAAACTTGATCTCATTTATTTCTACATTATTTATTAATCAAACTTATATAGCCCCCATTCTCATGATACATGGCTCTAGGTGATATACAATAATATATTTAATACATTTTCATTTATATATTCTGTCAATCAAAAAGTATCACATTATCTCTCCCATTGGGAAAAATTCTTGGACAAAACTGATGACTGAAAGCTTAGTTTCTTCTTTCAAAGTTTTATAAAATCACAGAAACTTATAATATATTGATAATTACAGGATTTTTTTTATATTTTTTAATTTCTTATGTTGTTTTCTTCTTTTATTTGTTGCATTGTTTTTCTTTTCCTTTTCTCTTCATGTGTGCTAAGTTCATTTTTATGTTTGTTTGAAAATGGAATAATAAAAGAAAGTTATCTGGCATTCTTCAGGGTTTTGACAATATTTCTTTCAGTAACAATCAAAAGAGAAGGGAAAAAAATAAATAAAAAAATAAGATGGGAAAAGGGTGGCTGCATTGGGATAAGAAGAACAGAGATAGATTAAAAATGGAGAAGAGATAATTACACTAGAGAGGGAAATAAAAGAAAGAGAAACATTGCTCAGGGATTTACAAAAGGGCAGAAAATCTGTGGTATGAAAACATCAACTCCTCACCTACCCAGCAAAGACTAATTTGATTTTCAAAGGAAAGTAGAGATGCCTCCAGTAATTTGTACCACTGCTATTCCTTTTTGTTCAACAGCTCTTCTGCTCTTACTAGGGAACGTAAAACAGCTCTCCTTAAGTCACAGATGATTATTGGGGGAAGGGGCACTCATTTTTTTCTTTCAGGAAATACAAATAATTTATGTAATAAATGGTTAGTAACATTCTGCCACATCTTTATGCCTCCAGATTTTATCCAAAAGGTATTTGCAGCTGATAAGAAATAAATACTCAATGCAGGTTATCCAATTGTGTGAATGTGAGGGCAGTTCTTAAATAATGCATTAGATCCTTCCAGAATTGACAGTTTATAACTGGTTGACGACATATTCCCCCCCCCATAAATTTACTTTTCAGTGAATGTGATATTTGCATATTAGGTACACATAGGAATCAACCTACAGAAGGAAATATTTCAGAATTTTCATAGTCAAGTCACACCACCCTTGTCTGAAACACTCTTGTCTTATTTGAGTTATACTCTTGACATTTTTATGGCTAAAATGTGCTTTATTGTTTAGCTGTTTGTATCTTACATGTTAACAAGACCTTTCACTAAATAATAAAGACAAAAAATAATTTCTCAATAACATTAGAGAGTCAAAGAAGTGGAATGAAAAAGCTATTAAAAGATAAAAGAGACAGTAAATAAAATCTCAGTTCTGAAAAAGAAATAAGCACAAGAAAGTGATTCAGAATAACCCTGCTTGGATTCTGTGTAATATAAGAGAGAACAAACTGAAATTCTGATAGACTTTCAAGATGATGTTATTATGGCCTACAACAATAAAATAGAACACCAAAAGCATTTACTGTGTCTAATTCCTGATCTGGCCTACCTTGAAGAACTAATAATATCTTGAAGAACTAATAATAAGAAACTATTTTGATTAAATAATTATTTACAAGTTTCATTGCGACTGATAATAAGTTAACACCAATTTGCTAAACAAGTTAACAAAATATTTCCACCAGTTTTCTAGTTAAATAAATGAAGTCAAGAGTAAAGTTATAATGATCTTGAACATTTCATTCTTGTAATTAGAATAGAATATATTAACTCTATATTTCCTGATGGTTCAATGGGGAGGGAAAAAATAGGACTGACTGTAAATAACAATCTTGTGTTATTTTACAATTTTTTACAGACTCTTGCAGAATTGGGACTGATTCAATAGCCTGTCCACATTCCTTACCATGTCTACCCTGTATTACTTTAACTACAGAAGGATTGCACTCTGATTATTATAATGATATCATATATATTATGATATCCACATACATTAAACAATTCAGCATAACATAAACAAGGTTTTTGTTCTGGGCCAACACAAGGTAAGCTTAAGCATCTTTTTTTTAAAAAAGAGCAGGAAAAGAAAGCAGTTTCTAAAATTTGTTTTTTAAAAGCAAGATTTTGGATCCCATATATTCAGAAACCTGATCAGGCTGAACCCAAAGGCTGGGTCAAACATGTCATCAGTTTAGAGCAGGGGTTCCCAGTCTGAGGGTGCAAGATGATATTCTAGGGGGTGTGAAAACTTGGGTGTTCAAAATTATAGTGTATATGCATAATTTGTTGCTGTTATTTTGAACTTTTGTAAGGGGTGAGAAAATATATCAGAAGCATTCTAGGAGTGCGGGGTATAGAAAAGGTTGAGAGCCACGGGTTTGGAGTCACTATGCTCCCAAAAGGGACCTATATCCAATCCCCCCTGAATTCCATTGACCGTTATCTAGCACCAATTTGCCTTGGCCATTAGTAGATCAGATTCTTGTGTATGATAGCAATGGAACAAACTTGCAGTGCTTTTAAACTCTATTCCGGGCTCCTGGTTTCTTGTGCCTGATAATATCTTCCCCATTAATTTCAATATTTTTTTTCCACAATGGATGCTAGGGAGAAAACAGGATATTGTATGAGTTTAAGGTCCTCTCCTAATCTTTTGCAAAGCAGCTTCATATATGATGCAGTAACTATAAAAGCTTCCATTAGCTACAAAAGTGTCCTTTTTATTACTGTTTTTACATTTGGGGAACTCTTTGCAGTAAATTTGGCTTAATGACTTTTGAGTGTTATGATTAATAGGCAAAATATTTTTAAAAGCAAGCATAAGGCGACTGTTACAAAACAGGGATATCAAATTAAACCAAAACACACCAATGCAGTATAAAATTCTACTGAAAAGAGATACATTTGTGGTTCCAGAGAAAAGAAGTAGAGAAAGTTCCATAATTAGACTTTTTTTTTAAAAAAAAAAAAACTCTTCAGTTTGAGTTTTTTTTAACACATCTGGAGAAAAAAAAACAATAACTGAGGTTCCAACTGAAACTCTCAGTGCAGACTTTTTGAGATTACTCAATTGGCAAAATATATATTTTTACCTTCCAGAAAGAACATACTATTTCTCACTGTAAATCAAATCATAAAAGAACTCTATAATTTCTCACAATGGCCTTGATCACTCAGGATGAATTACACATGTATTTTTATAGCACTCTTCAATAGAAACTTTTCACACATTTAGAAAAGTAAAGAAACAGTAATGATGAGGAATCACAGGAAAACTCTTTTCCTACTGTATTTAATATTTCCACCAGGGAACTCTATAAATCTAAGGCATACAGTTTTGAAAGTTATAGAAGGAAAGATATTTCCTCTCACACTTTCTACAGTATGAAAGCAAAAATAGAGAATAAAGCATATAACCATGAGAGGTGCTGTCATAATGAAATAGCATGCTTTTGGAGAATAATTGATTCTTCTCCTCTAACAATCAAAGCATGCACTTTAGTTGTACTGTCAATCATACTCAACTGTGATCCATATGTGTAGCTTAATAATAATGATGTGAAGTATTTGTATAATTTTTTATCCGTTCTTGATATCAACATATCTGGATATATTATGCCTTAATAAATTATTCAATTGCAAGAGACAGTGTGTTTGCACCCTTTCTTAAAGTGACTTTTCCCCACCATCTTTTATAACCACACTCCTCCACTTAAGGACAGGGACAGGGATTTCCAAATTTCATCCCACTCTAAAGCACTTCATCCATGTGTTTTCCAATAACCCATTAGTCTAGTTTTATGTACATTGATTCCCTTGGCATATATTTCTAAGAAGCAAGAAAATGTTATCTATAGATCAACTTCCAGAATAACACCATTTCTATCCTAAAAAATATAGTTAGTTAGGTTCCACTGGGTGAATCCTCACTATTTTGTCTTTTTTCTAACAATAAATTGCAGCTCTTCCAAGGACAATCCTGAAAGAATGTTTTATTGTTTAAACGTAAGATGTAGCAAGCAAAATGTATCACACTAAGTTAAAGGTAGTCCTTGGGCTACCACCACTTGGTTAGCGACCATTCTAATTGCTGCAGTGCTGAACAAAGGGTACTTACAGCTGGTTCTCAGAGTTCCAGGTGTAACACCATCCCCGTGGTCACCTGACCATCATTTCCGACATTCCCTGCTGTCTTCCCACAAGGAAAGTCAATGGAGAAGCCGGCAAGAAGTTGGAGTCCCATGAGGGCTTTGCTTAGTGAACTGAACAGTTCTAGCTTAAGAACAACAGTTGGGACCACCATCACTAAACAATGCAGCCACAAGACATTGCATTTTACAATTATGTCACTTAGTGACAGCAATTCTGGCTCCAATTGCTGTTGCAGCCCGAGGACTACCTATATTTGTAAAATAGTCCTTCAGTGCTCCTATTGGAGGAGTACAACATATTAAAAGATAATATGTGATGAACTAAACTTGGGAGAAGACATGATATTGCTTTTTGGCTTTTGTCTGGTTTTGCCAGAGGCAGGGATTTCTAAGGATCAGTAGAAAAAGATGTTAGCAGTTTTTTAAATTTACAAAAAATACAAAATAGAAAAAGGACAATCATCTCTGTACCTTCACTGGTAGCGGCATTCTTTTGAGTCTTGGTTGGAGTGTGGTCTGTACTTGAACTCACGTCGGATGAGATGCTTGAGCTGCCTTTACCTGCAAAGAAAATATTGGAATATTAAAAAAAAACCTTTATGATACTTTAGATTGCAAGGCTTTAATTATCAGCTAATATCTGGTTTCAAAATTAGATCATAAAGTCCATTCTGGAAATCTAAAACAGAAGGAAAAATCTCTTAAGAGCCATAGCACAGAACTGTAATCTTTTTATAAACTTTATTAAAATTCTATACATTAAAATAAACATTACAAAAAGACAATAGAGAAAACATATATAGAAACATAAACCCACAAATACAAAAATAAAATAGTATCATCCACTTCTACTCTTCATCTTTCTCATAGATCTATTAACCATTTCTTATTATTCTAGATCACTAAATTTTCCACAATCTCAGTCATCTGTGCGACAAACTGATTTGCTATGAAGTTTCAAACCCAGTTTGTGGAACAATGCAACATTTCAGCATATGAAATTCAAGATTTCAAAAGAGTGAGACCACAAGATTCAGATGGATGTAACTCATTTGTTAGCTCTGAAACATTGTAGTGAGTTAAAGTTTTCATTGTTTTTTTTCCTAAGCTGAAGCCAGCTAACTTGTTGGGAAAGGGCATTCACAGAATGGGTATTATAATAAAAATCTTCTCTCTCTTTTAAAAAAGCAGAACACCAAAATGACTGCCAAGAAAGTGTTTTGCTCCCCGTCCAAAAAAAAAAAAAAAAAGATTTGCCATCCTAACAGCACTGTGCAATATGAACAAGAAGGGTAGGGAAAAGATTAAGAACAACTGTGAGTGGTTTTTTGTGTGTGTGTGTGTGTGTGTGTGTGTGTGTGTGTGTGAATCACATTTCAAATTTGAAAAACATTTTGGTTTTATGTAGGATATCTGCTTTAAGAATACATTTCAGTAACATCTGATACATCTTTCAGAAAAAGAGATTGCAAGCCTTTTATCTAAGTCTTATATACAACAGAGGCTCCCAACCTTTTGGGCACCAGGGACCTGTTCCAAGGAGAGAGGTTTTTCCGCAGACCGGAAAGAGCGTGGTTTAGGTGCTACCTGCATCCCGTGGATGGGGCTTTGTTTGTCTGTGTGGCCCAGTTTCTAGCATGCCGCAGACCAGTTCCGGTCCACGGATTGGGGACCGCTGATATACAATATTTGTCTTTTTCAAAAAAAAAAAATGTGTGTTTTTCAATGACAATATGTTGATGGGTTTTTGCAAACCAGAAAATAATTTCATACAGAGAGAACAGATCACTTGCAGCAGTAGCATGCCATGTGACAGACAGATTCTTCAGGGAAGCTGGACATGTAAGGCCCACCTCACAGCTCTTTAATGAGGTTCACCTCTTCCCTTCAGCCAACCAGGTAATCAATGGGGCTGCATGAAGACCCCAACATTGTGAACTTCATTGTGAAGTTTATCATTTATTTATTGATTTGATTGATTTCAAACATTTCTATACCACCCAATCCCAAGATCCTGGGTGGGGTACAACAACAGAAACAATAGAAAATGACACAAAAGTCACATCCTGACCACTTGAAAGACCCAACAACACAATATACAACAATAAAATATACAATGCTCTCTTCCAATATAGCCTAGGCACCAAAAGCCTTCTAAAATGAAATAAAAAAATCCAGCATCTTTTTAAATATTAGAAGAGAGAGGGACAGGGCATCCCTGGAGATAATGTATTTCTGTGTTCACAGATTACTTTAGAAACAGAAAAGGTATTTTCATTATCCAAGTCAGAAGGCTGGGGGGGGGGGGGAGGGAGAGAGCGCGCGAGCCATAAAAGAACCAAGGTTGCTTACCCCTGATCTAGACCTTGGTAGATGGGGGGAGGGGAAGCAGGATTTTCCATAGGACAGGCCAGTGACTCTGCATTGATAAGTATAAGAAACTCTGTTCATCAATACAATTTGTGAAAAATTCAGAAAGCAGATTAATGCTATTCAGCAATGTTTGTTACAAGCTGTGATGACATGTATATATTGATGTCATTGCACAAATGATATGTCTGATGCAAACATACAAATCATATAATTTGTATGATGGTTACACATAACAATTTGCTTCCCTTGATGCCTCTGATGCCAGCTATGTTCTAAATCCCTTGGAAAAATGACATCCTATTTCCTCTTGTTCCTAATCCAAATTAAAGTGACATAAGTAAAATAAAGCTAAGATATAAGGTAACATAATAGGATCAATCTCCACATCAGGTCTAGCTATAAATCTTGATTCCCCAGACCCCTCATTCGGGAGACTGTGTATTTAGCATACATTTCTCATTTGTTGGGTTGTTGTTTTTTATCATAGACAAGAATTAAGAAGACTTCAGCATAGAGAAAAGATTTGGGTTTTTTTCTCAGTCTACTCTGTGTTCCTAGCTTTGAATTTCATTTTTTTCTTCCTGCTTTCTGAGCATCAGATGCTCGGCCCTTTGCTTCACACAAAGGTGATGAAGGCATCTGCTCTTTATCAATATAATTTGGTTTTTTGTTTCCTGAGACTGCTGGTTCCTGTCCTGCCAGCTTCATTCCTTACATTTAGTATCCAGTTTTAGACATCATCATCACCACCACTATGCACAAGGGAAAATATATATAATCTTTACTGTATAACTATAATGCTAGGATACTATTTTATATGGTGCCGAGCACATGTTTCTCATGAAACCCTCTGCTGAAAGAAATACTGCAAACTATACTAAGTAAAAACATCCCACTCTTACTCTATGAGAACACCTGAAAAATAGATGGAAGCCTTCTCTGAAGTCAAAACAAGGAAGAACTGTCTGGTGCCAGCCTCAGATAGATCCCCGATGCCCAATTTACACCTACTTAGAAGAAGAAACTAAAAGAGAGAGAGAGAAAGGGAGATGATGCGCTGCAGACCGAGATTGATTTGGCACAAGATTTAGAAATATATGCTCTGAAACATATGCAATGGAAAATATAATATTTTAGCAGATGTACAGGTTTTTTTACAATGACATTTTTTTTATAACTGGAAACTCACATATTCCTGTATGTTCAGTATGGTCACTAATGACAATCACATTAGTGTAGCTTATAAACCTGCTGGAGTAATTAAGCAATTTTAGATTTTGGCTTTATTGGTAAAAAGGGAGACTCTTTTAATTAGTGTGCAGAATTAAACCTCAAATATTTTTAGAACAGGAAAAATGTTTGCTTTCCAATTACCTAACTGTAGATGCAACAATTACCTCCCTGCTTGCTCTAAGCTCTTCTGATGAGCTGGATAAAAGTAGGAATAAACATTTTGAATGAAGGAATGAATTCAGTCTAGGTCTTGTCTGGCTCTCATGATGAATTGATCTTGTTTTTTCTTGTTTATTCTATTTCAATGTTTAATTCAATGTAATTCAGTTGTTTGCATTAGCCTAAACTAATAGATCTTGGGTTGTTAGTAAAAGAAAACATGAATCGCCCAAGTCTCACCTCAACTTACAGTAGATGAGCTGCGACTTGGAACACATTCCTGCTTTAGATGATAGCATGCACTATTTCATCTACTTCAAGCAGTGACAAACCAAGCTTTCTTTGATGTCCTGATAAAAGCAATGAGATGATTAGAAAAAAAATATTTTGCAGACTGACATGGAAACCAAAGTAGCAAATATTTTTTTTAAAAGAGTAATTAAAATGTTATTAAGAAACTAACATCAAGACAGGCAACCAGGAGATCACTGTCAATTTAGGGTAAGACATCAATAATTAACACTTGGGAGCTGGGTAGCTAGCAAGTCTATATATTTCATGAACGCCTCTGGGAATGGGAATCAGCTAAAAGGCAGTTTGTGAAACTGAAAAAGATAACATAACATATATGCAATAGAGGATGGGTATGTAAATGTATACATCATTCAAAGCACTGCTTGGGAATAAAGATAAGATGCTTCCTGGATCTGTCACAGAGGTATCCCACATTTTGCAAAAGTGAAAATACAACTAAAATAAGGTTGATTCATATGAGAAAGCTGAACGAAGTAAGACTTCCAGATTCCTCCACCATCACTTTCCCTGTCTAAATGTATTCTTTATAACTTAGGTTTCTTGTACCGTTGTTTCCCCCAAAATAAGACTCGGTCTAATATACCTCCAAAAGAGGCACTAGGATTTATTTTGGGGCGATGTCTTACCCACTTACTTTAGGACCGCCACAGCCAGGCCTCCCAGGCCCCGACACCTGTTGCACCGCTGTTTGACTTCTTCTGCAAGACACCAAAATGGCGCATCACTCTGGTGCTGCCACTCGTGCCATGGTGTAATGTGCTTTAGCACGTGCCATGAGCGGCAGAACCGGCATGATGTACGACATGGCTCTTGGTGCAAGCCGGTGCCACGCACCACGTAGCCACCTGCCATAAGCAGTGGCACCAGCACGATGTTCCACGTGGCGTCTGGCTGCAAGTAGCCACAACAGAAGTCAGGCAGAGCGCCACAGGTGTCGGGGTATGGGTGGTCTTGGCTGTGGCAGTCCTAAGGTAAGCGGGTGTGGGACACCTGGGGCAGCTCTACCCCCTACCCTAGCTTGATTTTTACACATGTACCTTGCCCCACTTTGTACAACAGCTGGATTTCAGCTAGGGCTTATTTTTTGGGTAGAGCTTATATTAGACGCACATGGAAAAATCAAGCTAGGGCTTATTTTTGGGATAGGTCTTATTTTTGGGAAAACATGCTACAGAACATGTTTATTCAGCAGGAAAAAGAGCAGTTTCCAACCTGATTCTATTTGCAGGTAGCATCACATTTACTTGTCCTTGGGTTTGTAAATAGCTACTTTCTAGAGTCCTTTAAATCATGAAGATTCATTTTCTATTAAATTTCATTATCTTGTATCATAAAGATTCATTCTTTTCTATTGCAGATCATGAAATTAATTAAGTCCAGATGATCACACATGAAAGCTCCTGTAAACGGAAGAAAACTATTTACTTCTTTCTTTCAAGCCATCAGTGCATCTTATCTAATTAATACACTTGAGGTACAGT